TATAATAAAGTTATACACACTGAGGTGGAATCTCCTGTATCAGCTGAGTTTGAATGAATCATTTCCAATGCAGAAATATGAAGAAAATCTGGAAATAGCTGGCTCCACTGTTCAGTGAGGCACATAATAGTGACTGATGAAAAATTCAATTGTGTTTCAGCAAACCAGAGAGGCACAATTGTAGAGAGAGCTCAGTTATTTCTGTCAAACAGGATGTCAGTGCACGTAGATACATTTTTTTTCCCCCAACAGGCTCCTCCACAATGCACCTGCATTGACTGTCGATTTCTTATACCATCTTGGAGATAGCAGAACAATCCTGCTTCTCCCCATTTAGAGCTTTATTTTATTGAAGGGCATTGACCGCCCCTTTAGTACACACAACCTGGAAAGGCTGATTCATCAATCACTGTGATAAACATGTCACAAAATGCAACCACGGGGATCGAAGCCTTTCAATCTTTTGTTGCAGAGGCTAATGGATATTTAATTTATGGGAGATGAAACAGATTTGGCTTTTTTAAAAAAATATACAGAGCAAATATTCATCACCCGTTTCTGATGATTCAGTTTGTATGATACATAACTGCTATTACCTTTGCTGCGCATCAACCGTAGATTTTTAACTGTCTTTATTTTGTGCTTATTGACCTTCCTTGTCTCAGGCATAAACCCGAGTAATATTGCCTCTAGAGTCAGGAAATGAGAGCAATTTATCACGGCTGACACAGGCTTTATTTACCAGGCAATAGTTAGACAACTATTTCTTGTAAATTTAGCTGTAACATTGTACTTTGATTCCTGCACCTGCTGCCGTCCTGTCTTATAAAGATGTATTTGTGGAAAGGAGCAGATCTTATACGAGATAAACTATTGATTAATGTCTTCCTTAGATTTTCCTCTGTGGTAGCACAGCACGGCAGCTGGTTTTGATAATGAATTTGGTTTAACCCATTGACGACAATACTGGACCAACAGCAGCACAGGATGGGAACTCAATGTTATACCTACTTCAATGGATAACACAAACCAAATATTCTGTAAATTGCACCAATTGCATGTTATAATGTGCAGACTTATGCGATAACCATCTACACGCCAAAGATCTTCACTGAAAGAGTGGGTATAGTGCCCACAGACATCAATTCTTGTTTATGCTCATCAGGTTGTCACTATCTGCTCAGTATTTATTGCTAAAAGAAGACAGCAATGCATTAAGATTTAAAATACCATTTCTGGCAGAGCATTAGAGAGGCACTCTATCAAAGCTCACTGTTTCTCATTTTAATTGCGACTGCAATTCCTGATTTATGAATTTTGGTTGATGCATTAGATAATTGGTAATGTTATTTACTACCTTAGAATCAAATACTGTTTTTGCTGTTAGGACAATAATCTTAATATAGTGAGACCCATTACAGCACAGTCTGATATAATGCACATTATTTGTAGCTGCTTTTCTCATAGAACATTTGCACATACACAAAACACCCTCTAATGTATCACAGTTACAGCATTGCTTGCAAATTCTCTCAGACACTCCTGATAGAACGGAACTTCTTACATAATGCATACTGTTGATGGATGTTAATTGTAAAATAACCCAAACAGATCTGCTCATCTATATTCCATACCTCAGACATAATCATAATAGAACATTTATAAAGTCTCAAGTATGATATGTAGAAATAGAATACTCTGTCTTTGCTCGTGCATTGTAACAAGAAGAGCTGTGCAACACACCCCTCACTGTAGCTGTAAACACATGCTCACCAAATAATCAATTTAAATTTAAAGCTGTTGTTTACTCGCATTTACGTTTTAGAAATTCAAGCTCAAATAGTAATACACTATAGACTGGACTATAAAGCACTGTGGCAGAGCCTGCAAAGTGGTTTAAACATTAACTGCATAGTATGTAGGTTAGTATGGTACATTGGAGTGTGGAACGTTTTCTGCATAGTTTATTATACACTTAATCGTATAAGTTTAATAGGCCACAGGTAAGACGCACAGTGCAACAGCCAAACATGATACACACACTGGCTAAAATAGTGGAAGAATTAGGCACGATCCAGGAAAAGGCCCACCATTAAAAAAAAATTCAGTTTTAAACACACAAAACAATGAATCTCTTGCGAGGCTGATCTTAAGGCTAAAAAGGTAATTCAATGTGGGTTTGACTAATCATGTTTAGACCCATACAGGTTTGTGTGAGCCTGTATTGCAAGTACAGTATAATTCATGAAGATAAGTGATTGTCTAATTATTTTCACTAGTTTTAATGACCAATATCATCAAGTAAAAGCAAATTTGATTCTTTAAACCTAAAATAGTCATCTCCAATCCAGTGAATAGGTTGATTTGACTATTGATTCTCCGTACAACATTCTCTGACCTTGAGACAGCATCCAAAGCCATACTTCTTCGATAGCCTGATGCACAGTTAGTATGAAAGCATGGTGCTATTTAATAACCCTATAAATATTTACAGTCTCTCCAACACTTTGATGTATTTATTTTATGTTCTTTCTACTCTTTTGAATGTAAATTCAGCAAAAGATAAGATTAGTTGGCCAAGGACGGGATGTGGCACAGATAAATCAAACATTTCACCCTTTCCACTCCTCGACGTAGGAGGAAAGACATCTGAAGAAGAATGAAGAAGTCAGAGAGGCTAGCTTGTTTCGACAGTTTCCTGACACCTGCGCTAAGTCAGGTTGACATTGTGTTTTCTCAGCGTGAAATTGTTGGCGGACTTTAATAATTTGTAAGTGCAGGTGCTCTGTGGCCTTTCAGCAGCAGCCGACATATAGAAATGAGGTAATGGCTCCTGTCTGTGCCTCCCTTCACTGCTTGTGTCTTAGATTGCGCCAATCCATCAAGTGTATCTTCCACCGGCTCACAAATAACCCAGACAGGAACTCATTAACATTCATGATTTTATGGACATAAGAATTCTCGGTAGATTGCCAAGCCTAATTATCCACTGACATTTATTGAAAGCTTTGATTAGTGCATATTGTAATGAATAGGAAGCATGTGGAAGGCGGCAGGAAAGGAAAGTCAAGTTGCTTACTGTTATCTTTGTACAAAAATGGCCACAGAACAAATACAGGAGAATTCATTAGCGTCCCCGTTGTCTGCCACAAGTCAGATGGCAAATGACTGAAAGGCAAATTCATTCATCTTTTTATCTTTGACTTGGTATTTGTAACATCGGTTCTTTATTCAGCTTGGAAAGATGAGGGGGATTTATTTGAAGATCTAATGAATGAAATTCAAATTGTTTCATCTGTGCAGATACAATTAAAAATACCGACTGTATGACATCAAATAGAAAGAATGACTCTGCGGTCAATATCTGTCGCTTGAGTGTATCCAATATTTTGTTGGCTGCGGGAACGAACTGTATCCAAATCAACTAATTAGGAATTGTTCATGTTCCAGTTCAGATATGCTGGTTTGTCCCTTTTAGAAAATGGTACTGTATGCCTACAGCAGGATCTTTAAACATGGGCTTACGTGTGACTCTCACATTATAGCCACAAGAACAAACTGAACACTTTTATAGGCTTTTTCCTCCTGGGTTTCTAGTCTCGGTGAAAAGAGGATATGTGGATGAAATCATATTGCTGAATGCACTGATTTTTTGTTGATATGTGATTCCAGTTTGGAATGGCCAGGTAACTTTTTTGTTTTCCTGGGAATTACTAGGAATAAGATGTGAGTTAAACTAGTCAGCTGATTACATATTTTCTGATAAATTGGTCATTCAATCCACGACTGTTTGTGAAACACTGCTGTGAGCAATTGGCTGCCGCCGAGCTTTTTTTAAATATATATATATATATATGAGAAGCGACTGTGGAATCAAAGAGAGCATTGAGGAGAAGCTACTTCATGCAGAGGGTAATGAGATTGTGGAACTCGTTGCCTGTAGTGGGGGTTGAATTACATAGTTAGATTCAACAGGAAGCTAGACCTTTACATATCGGAGAGGGGAATAGAAGGGGATGGGAGGAAGTAAGAAGTAGCTGGAGGCCCATCTGGAGTATAAATACTGGCCCCGGACTGGTTGGGTTGAGTGGTCTGTTTCCTTTCTGTACATTCTTTGTAAACCTCCATAGACTATGTGAAATGTCTTGTGGGATCAATATTTGCAAGGGCCAATGACAGCAATCAGAGCTATACAGGCAACAGAAAAAAGGGGGATAAATACATTGAAATGAATACGTGAAACATTATGCATGATAATTTCTACATCTATTCTACGACTGCCCTGACGAATTGCATAAAAGTATCCAATAGGCGATTTATTTTCCAATTGGACAATATACAAAGGATTAAAGGTGTCCAAACTGAACATGTGCCCAAACAGAATAAAGGGTGCAGTATTGATGTTCTGCCTTTAAATACGGTATCATTAGCGCATTAACTAAATGTCAGATGCCGAATTTACCAAGCAAACTTAAGATAAATAGATTAACATCATTACTTCACTGTCACGGACTCCAAGATTCATTCTTTGAATCTGACACTTTGCTCTTGAAATGTAAACATGGAAGTCGAAAGGGGTTTGCAAGTTTCAGATTCAGATTCAGTGATGGATTGGATAGATTGAAAGTAAAGTTGGAAGTGCTAAGCTTGTTATTTAAACTAAGAGCGCACTGTATATTCAGATAGTGCGAGTATCTGCTTCACAACCGATGTATCCATTCTCCATTCATGTGGGTGTTTCAAATTAAAAGGTTGACTTCTGTAACTGCAGCATTTATATTTTTCTAGCTATTTGTAATTTTGTAACTTGAACTGATACAAAGCATCGACCAGCAGAAGTAAAAATACAATGTAATTTATTTTTGAACAAATCCCTGCTCAACATCAATCATTCCAAAGCCGTGGTGTACGATTACCCAATTAGATTGACTTCCAAAAATTGACTGAAACTTTTGCTTCCTGCTAATGTGTATTCACAACTTGTTTTTCTTGTCCTCTAGGCAAACCTGTAATGATAATAACCGAATACATGGAGAATGGATCTCTCGACTCATTTCTAAGGGTATGCTGCTTTATACTTAATACTGTGGCTGTTGTTATTCTTGAAGCAATTATGATTCACCCAAAAGAGCGACATCAGTTTGTCTAACAATTTAAACTGATGAAGGTGAATCATTAGAAGCGGATGCAAAACTATTTAGTTTTCTTGTCAAGGTTTTGAATATGCAAATACTTTTACCCTTCGGCTACATAGATACTTTCTTGACTGCCATTTGAAGTTAGCTTTATGTAAATACGCCTCTATATCTATCAACAGTTTCTCCTTATTTTGCATTGGAAATCAACACAGAGTCACTAACACGACTATTCATGCAATCAAGAAAGTAACCAAGAAAAGGCTACCAATCCCACTTAGCTAGAAAACAGGACCTCATCAAACACCATGTGGTGCCTTGCCCCTTGTAATTTACTCCCAGTTGAATTATATTGTGTGTCGACCAAGCTCGGTGATAGCACTCACCTCTAAGTTAGAAGGTTGTAGGTTCAAGCCCCATGTGGGGACTTGAACTTGCACATGAACTAAGCTGACACTCCAATGCATTCCTGGGGGTTTGTCGCATTGTCAGAAGTGGCGTCCTTTGTTTGAGACGTTAAACGGATGCCTCATCTGCCTGTTCAGATGGATGTTAAAGATCCCACGGCACTATTGTGGAGTCCTGTAGCTCAGTGGTTAGAGCATTCGCTTTGCAAGCGAGAGATCTAGGTTTGATTCCCAGCAGGGCCAAACCTTGGGTAAGTTTCCTTACTCCACGACTGTTTGTGGGACGCTGCTGTCCGCAATTGGCTGCCGCATTTCGCCCACAAATACAAAGTCAATTCACTTTACAGTCTAATCTGTGAAGCGTTTTGAGACGTCTAGAAGGCATGAAAAGCGCTATATCAAATGCAAGAATTATTATTATTATTATTCAAAAAGAGAAGGGAGATTCTCCTGGTGTCGTCACCAAAAATCCCCCAAATTAATAAAAATGTTTGAGTTAAGGTTTGGGCTTTTAAGGACAGCATCTAACTCAGACTCTCTTTCCCTCAAACATTGAACGATGAAGCAGGATTAGTGATGGACAATATCCACTGGCGAAAATCTCAATTTAAGATAAAAAGATGGCACATTAATTTAAATAATGGCGTAATTAAAATCGGAGTAATTTAGCACACTTTCATTAAAATTAAAATCAATCACTGGATTTGCTATGCCTAGTAACTTCTGAAATTAGTATATTTATTTTCATTCAGCTGAGTTTTATCATAGTAGTAACACAATTCTTCATTCACAAACTTGCCTTTCTACAGACAATAGCAATGGAAACACCAGAATGGAGAACTGTGAATAGGATATTCTCTTCATTATCGAAATCTCTGGAATTTGGCATGAAATTAAAACTCGAGATCTCGCTCTGACTATTATACGTTTTCTTCCCTTCACAAACCATTTTCTATTTTGCTTTAATTTGATTTAAATGGAGGTTCCCCCATTGGTTGGGTCAATTGAAGGGTATTATTTTATGCCCTGTAACCACTTACTCACTTGGCTCAGGTAAGTAAGTGGTCTCTGGAGTTCCCAACCACGGAGACTCACTTGGCAACTTATTCATAAATTTTAACACTTCAACGTTATCCTTTTATTGAGTATCTGAGATGACAATGAGCCAAGTCTGTCTGCTTACATATCAAGTTGACATAAGTGTAAGAATTTAAAGTCATCATTAATCCTAAAATAAAACCATACAGGTTGTAATTTGTTGCTATCACATGCATTTCATAAGAGCTGAGCGAAATCCTTTCTGAGTTTTATGACTGCTGCATCTATTTGCAGGGTGAACCTGCTGCACAAACAATTTTAGTCTTCTGTGCTGCAGAGTTATCAAAGTTATCACTGGAAAATAAGAACTCCACAAAGATCTGGAGTCAAGTGAATTCTTGACCTATTGTGAATGAATGATACTCTTGTTTTACCCTCGTTGGTGCAGTTATTACAGGAAAAAAAACATCAAAATGTGGTTCTCTCAGTCCAAAAGCTCAAGCGTACGCATCACAAGCAAGTCACTTAAAACAAGAGCAGATTTCTGATGGTCAAGTTGCTACTGACAACAACAAAATAAAATTTATAGAGCGCCTTTCACATCAGGAGGACGTCCCAAAGCGCTGGACAGTCAGGGGTCAGGACCTGAGGATGGGGGAGGGGTGGGATACGACTGAGGGGAGGCAGAGATGTGGGAGGGCGATTGAAGGCACAATTGAAGAGGAGGGTCTTGAGACCGGCCTTGAAGGAGGCGAGGGAAGAAGCGAGGCAAAGGGACTGTGGGATGGAATTCCAGAGTGTGGGGGGAGAGAGGCTGAAAGCCCGGCCACCGATGGTAGGGCGGGACACATGGAGCAGGCTGGTGCCCGCTGAACGGAGGGAGCGGGCAGGTTGGTAGGGAGTCAGCAGGTCAGAGAGGTAGGAGGGGGCAAAGGCCATGGATGGCCTTGAAAGTGAGGACGAGGATCTTGAATTCGATCCTCTGGGGGATGGGGAGCCAGTGGAATTGGGCGAGGGTGGGAGTGATGGGGTCACTGGTGCGTGAGAGTACACGAGCTGCAGAGTTTTGGATGATCTGCAGCTTGTGAAGGGAAGAGTTGGGAAGGCCGATGAGGAGGGAGTTTCCATAATCGAGCCTTGATGTGACGGATGTGTGGGTGAGGGTTTCGGCAGCCTGAGGGGTGAGGCAGTGGCAGAGTCTGGCAATGTTGCGGAGGTGGTAGTCGGCAGTGCCAGTCATGGCACGGATGCGGGGAAGAAAGGACAGTTCAGGGTCAAACAAGGCACCAAGGTTCCTGTCTCGCTTAGTGAGGTTGAGTGTGCAGCCTTGGAGGCGGATGCTGCCAGTGCTTATACTTGCACAGCACGCAGAAAGTGACATCAGATTGCTTCTTGCATACAGGTCATGAAAGTGAAATCAAATGACCGAACTGACATTTTTTTTTAAAAGTGCAGACATTCTGGATAGCTTGGGTCCACAGAGCACCAGCATTACAATGGGCTTTCAGAATATTTTCTTGGCAAGTGAACTTGTACACTACATGTAATGCTTTTTCAGCATTGAAAATCAGACAATCCTGCACGGTTGCCATGATACAAGAATTTTGCATTAAGATTAAAGCCTCCCTCAACCCTAGTATTGAAAGAAAAATCAGTCCTACTTGGTCTAAATTTAAACGCCACACAGATCAAACAAAAGTTTCAGGAATTTAAGCTCCCTCTTACCGATTGGCGTCTCAAGTGATGTCTGTTTCACCAGGTACATTTAATTTTTTATCTGGAAATTGCATTTCTTCTGTAGAAGATGCAGAGGAGGAGGTGAAAGCTCGAGGGTTTTACAAATGTTTTATTTCCCAACTACTCAAAGTAGAGTGTGTGCAAGCTTTCTTTCCCTGAGAGACTTTGCTTGTGGTTTTATATGATCTGTTCTTTTCTAGATTAGAAACCCGCTGCGAAAAAGATCAGTTGGCTGATTTTTCTCAAGATAAAACAATATAACCTCAGATATTTTGAAGCGATGTATTCCTTGTTTAGTCTCTCTTCTGATTTGATGCAACATTATTCCTTTTTGATACGTTGCAAATTTTCTTTTTATATCTATTCAGAAGCGTGATGGACAATTCACGGTTATTCAGCTGGTCGGGATGCTCAGAGGAATCGCCTCCGGGATGAAGTATCTTTCAGACATGAACTATGTACATCGGGATCTAGCAGCGAGAAACATTCTAGTGAACAGCAACTTTGTCTGTAAAGTATCTGACTTTGGATTGTCTCGAGTGCTGGAAGATGACCCAGAGGCTGCCTATACAACTCGGGTGAGTTAAACGCATTTGACAGGCTTAATTTATTTCACTCAGTGTGTAAGTCGACACTTGAATTAGGTTCAAATGTTTAGTTGTTCCCCGCAAAGCTAATATCACAAAAAATTAAGAAGGGAACATTTGTGTTCACAAAACCTCTCCATCAAGATATTATCTGGCCACACACTCAATGCAAAGACCCAAGTGGTTTCATGCGCCACATGGAGCCAAGAGTTTTTTTTGTTGTTGACATTTTCATGACCAGTTGATAAGTATTTTATTTGAATCCTGCGGTTGAAATATTGGAGACGATGCAGTGCTTTCCATCTTTTTACCTCTGGGATTCAGGGTCAAATCAGCACAAGATGAAGGTCTATTCTCCCAAACTGCTCTGTGATTCCTTGTTTATACAGCTGGAAGTAATGTGACACTGCTTACAGAAGTTCAGCAATTCAATTGCTGGATTTAAAATTTCCCTCTCCTGCCTATACATGTTGTGAGCTGAAGAGAGCTCTGCACATGTGCAACTGAACACTGGCACAAACCAATTCAAATTGGTATTATTAGTCAGTCATGCTTTAAATCAGCTTTTTTTTAAAAAAAACAGTACTTTAGACTGATCAAGAATTTCTAAGGGACCTTTTTGAGCAGAGGCCAAATCAATTTGTGCTGCTACATTAATACTTCAGAGATTGAATTCAATGCCTTGAAACATTCTAATGAAAAAGGTCTTCACTCCATTCCTCCAAATATGCACAAACATTGTGAAGGAAACTGGTTTATTAATATATTTCCCTCGTCTAAACAATTTCAGTCACGTCTCCCTATTTTGATGAAAAACTATAAAACAGGAAATGCACAGCTGGCTACAGTCAGGGACCACAGATAAGCAGTCAGCTATTATCTTTTTACATTTTGTTCAGAATTTAAGAGCAGTCAATTCACTCTATTTCAAAGTAATGTTCGTACATGTTTTCAGGGAGGAAAGATCCCTATTCGATGGACTGCTCCAGAGGCCATTGCCTATCGCAAGTTCACTTCAGCCAGTGATGTATGGAGTTACGGGGTTGTTATGTGGGAAGTGATGTCCTACGGAGAGAGACCTTATTGGGAGATGTCCAACCAGGATGTAAGTATCAATTGTGGTCCATGCAACTTCAGCACGGAAATTGTACACTTAAATCATTTGCTTAGAAATTAAGAAACTCTTTGCTATTAAAAGTTTGTCAGTCCTTCCAGTCAATTCAGTTTCTATGTTATGGCACACAAATATCAAAATGTTATTAAACACATGAGTAACAGGTTTCTATTCATTCGTGGCGCAATTTTAGTTGTAAAAGATTTAGTTCAAAATATGCAACGTGTATCATTGGAAAACATGCACCAATAGTAATGGTTTATGAGGTCCACAGATAAAACAAAAAAAAATTGAAGTGAAGAATGTGCTGGGCACCTCTGTCAAATTCAGAGATCGTTACAGAAGCTCAACTGAAACAATTAGGGAGATATAATAATAATAACCCTTGCATTTGATATAGCACCTTATCACTTCATTGAGACTATAAAATGAATTGACTTTATATTTTGTGGGCGAAACACGGTAGCCAATTGCGCACAGCAGTGTCCGACAAACAGTTGTGGATTGAGTGACTCAATGTTCTTACACTGTTAAGAGATAGATAACTATCTGAAGAGGAACCAAAAGACTCAACAGACAATATTTTGAGAGTGATGAACTTCACATATATTCAGATATTGAGATTTACGGGTTTCTATCTACTGTTTGAAAATAAATTTGAAACCGAGACATTTTTAAGTGTTACCTCATTTGTGATTAATTGGGAAACATTGCCTTGGGCATCTTGCAAGGAGCAGTAATTGTAGAAGGAATTAGATAAGAAATGACTTAAAATACTTTCCATTGGTAAAATCTGGGTAAAACGCTCATATCCTTACAGGTAATAAAAGCAATTGATGAGGGATATCGTTTGCCAGCTCCAATGGATTGTCCTGCTGTTCTTCATCAACTGATGTTAGATTGCTGGCAGAAAGCTCGTGGTGACAGACCTAAGTTTGGTCAGATAGTGAACATCCTTGACAAACTGATACGGAATCCAAGCAACCTCAAAACATTAGCCAATGATGCAGCATGGTAAGGTAACATGTTGAACACAGATGCAACGTTGAAACATCCAATGTTAAACTATTTTGAATCGTTTTCATACTGTTCCTCTCTGCATTTTTGTGTGCAGGTCAACCAGTTCCTTGCAGGATCCGTGTACACCAGACTCCTCGGCTGTTACCACACTAGAAGACTGGCTTGATGGAATCAAGATGGGCCAATACAAGGAGAACTTCTCAGTAGCTGGTTACACGACACTGGATACAGTTGTGTACTTAAACAGCAGGTACTGTAAGTAGTGATATGGTTCCAATTTGACTTGTCCTTTCAAACATTATTGATGCTGGTACACTGACTAGACTGCTGAAGGCTTCATATTTCAGCGTAAATTATGGCACAGCCGTCCCAAAAATTTCACCAACAATTCATTGGTCATTCATTTTGTAGTGTAATCCCTCTAGCTCCCCCACACCACTCCCTGTTCATTCTAGTTTTTAAATGAGTTCAATTGGGCATGGGTACAGCCAATGTCATTCCTTCATCAGAAGATCAAGAGGATCAGTTCACTCCTGGAGAGGCAATAGATCCCTTGTTTCAACTTTCTCTTTTGCAAATAGCGAGTAAACCAGTTCTGGAAACTGACATCTTCCTAACCATTTAAAAAGCTGACATTCTGGAAAGGTTGACTGTCAATATTGTGAAAACAGCATATAAAATGCAAGTTTTTCATGGAATGATGTAATCTTCAGTACAAACAGGGTTAAGCGTCAAACCTGTACTTGCTCAAATTAGGTAAGAAATGATCTGCCATATTTCAATACTCTTAATTGATCTTTTTTTCTGTGCGTTTCCAGTGACCTCTGCAGAATTGGAGTGACATTGGTTGGACACCAGAAAAGGATTCTCTTGAGCATTCAGAACCTCCACGCCCTGGCTAATCAGATGCATGGAACACACATTCAAGTGTAAGAAAATGACTACACCAAATGCTGTAGGCCGATTGGGAGAAATCAGCTGTACACCCCTGCTTCCTTCTTCTGATTAAAAACTCCTTTATAACTGGTTAGGAGAACATCTTTCCTAAAAAGGTGTAATGTAACTACATTTTGAGCACTTGTACAGCCTACAGTGACATTCAAAACATCAGAATACTGATTGTGCCACCTCTTAGCTAAACTGTATTTTGTAAACTGTCGTTGCTAATGGGTAAGACTACAGCAGAAAGTGCTGAGGAAAATAACAATAGTGGTTTGATTCATCAAAGAGGACAGCGGTTTAAAAATCAGAATTCTTGAACTCCAGGCGATTCCTTGCAATAGCTACCAATTGAGTTTCCAATCCAACTCACTTTTGCCATTCTATTTTCCTTCTGCATTCTCAGAAAACTATCAAGACCCTATTTTCAGCTTGAAGTAGGTCTGATTACCCAGCAGTTGCAGTAGTGCAAGTCAGACATTAGTTATAGATGCAAAACTCTCTTGCTGGCCTATGCTCACAGGATTGTCCACTCTTAAAAGGCTTTCAAATCAACTAGAATGATAAATCTCAAAAAACACCCATTGAGCTTTTATCACTGAACTCCAGCAGAAGATAGGTGAGGATTAAGCATGAAACTTGTAGTCACTGTTAATAGATTAAGAGAGATAATTTGGCCATACTTTGTTCATGGATGACTTCCATTCAGATAGATTTGCAATTGATAGACATAGCCAGCTAAACCGAATGTTGGAGTCATACTTTTAAGTGCAGGCGAGGTGACTGAACTAATTTGAAGTCTACTCTATGAAAAAATCTATATCTGGATCATATCCAAAGTATGAACAAATTCTAAATATGGAGCCAGCTACGTGGAGAGCCAAATGAGAGCAAATGGACTCGCTCACCTCTCTGCAGGAGAGTTTTGCTAATTCATGCCATTTCCCCTATTCCCTTGATGGTCTGCCTAGGATTGGAAACTTGCTGTGTGGTGAATTACAGTGGGGGGTGGGGAGAGAGAGAGGGGGAAACAAAACTTGCATACTGCTCCAAATCATTGAACCCTTTTCCTATCCTACATAGCTTTATTCTGCCTTCAAACATTAAACAGATGAACACTGGCACAGGTTGCATCAGTAACTTTATACAAATATAATCCTTTTGGTAACTCAATGGGACATGGGGATTGCATATGCTGAGCCAGCACCACAATCTTCAAAACCTGGTTTCGAGCTGAAAAATAAATCTGAAATAGATACTTCTATTTCTATTGTTCGGTGGCTATTTCCTCACTTGCGTTTTTCACTGCCTCGGTTTTAAAGTTGTTGATTTTTTTACCTCTTGTGAATAACTGTTAAGATATAGTGTACTAGTTACTTTAGAACTGACTCGTGCAAGTGAAGATTTACAAAACAGAGTGATTAATCTAGATGGTCAGTCTGTGGTTTTTTTCCCAGCAAAGTGAATCCGGCTGTACGGGAATCAGGTTCAATACGTTAACTGCAAGGTTCTGTGTTGTAGACGATTTGAAATGAATTTTTTTTTAGCATCTAGGAAAACAATATCGTACTTGGGATAGGACAGCAGTGTTGGATTAAAGAAATGGCCTCAGCGCTTGGGTGAGCTATTATTTGAAGAGAGTTGCCTTGAGAGTAATGGTAATGCTGCAGAGGACTATCACACTTTCAGTGCCTCCCTTGATGGTGTCTGCACGTTTTGCTCAATTCTTACAGTAGAAGGAGAAAGCAGCCAGAAACTGAGAACGCAACTGGGATACATGGAATACCAGACTTATTTCAGACGTAAAGCAGGCCTTTGGAACTCAAATTGAGACTCTGTCACTCATCCATTATGAGGGCTGCCTCTTATAAGGAACAAAACCAAGTGTATGTGTACATGCACTTTGGATAATGTGGTGTAAAATTCAGTCTGCGGTATATCCAAGCATGGGTCAATCAACAGAAAGAATTCCATTTCTGCTTGGTGTCAGTGTCCACTTTGAGTCATACAATCATGGTTATTGCTGTAAACCATCATAGTGCTGTTCAGTAATGTCTCTGTTTATAGAAAAGTAAAGAAATTTATTGAAAGGAAAGTAAATGGTAAAGATAATCTTTGTGTTGCTTTAGTTGTTTTACCCTCTATTGTATTACAGTGATATTTTCTGAATCATTTGAGCGAGGAATGTTGGGTCAACTAAGAAAAGATGCAATGTGTGAAGCCCACGACATTGTGATCGTGCCTCAAAATAAGAGATACAAGTATCACACACAAAAAAATGGTCAGTGGGGAGAAAAAGTGATTCTTTTACAGAATCTTCCAAGTTGACCAACCAACAGAAAGGGACCACAAAACCTGATTGAATTTCACTGTAAAACACTTAGTTTCTTGAGCAAGTTTTAATACTTCAATAAATTGGTCACTTGTTGTAGGGACAGATGTAACTTGCTTCAGATATTGTGAACAACTTAAACAAACTGTCAGCACTGGAATCTGAATAATTGCAACAATAAAAAAAATGTTATTTTGGAATTGACAATGAAATCGACTTTTAAGCAATGAATGGACAGCTATTAAACTTAAGAAGTAAAACTTTAAAATGCGACAGAACAGTAAAAGCAAAAGAACACAATCTACTATTAAAAAGGACGAATGACACCATTTGTGTTCAGCTGGCCTTTCCACGCTCTCAAATTAGTAAAAGCAGACACAAAAAAAATGAGTTTTTTTTCTTGCACATAACTTCAATTGCGAAACATATTCTACAGACAACTTGGGAAATATTGAGGTTTTTAAAAGACAAAGTGCTACCATTTTGTAACAGCACCAAGATAAATGGCGGAAAGGAACAAACAGAAGTGAATATTGAATTATATTGTATAAAGTGTACAGTGTTACTTACATAAAACTATAGAATGTTTATAATTGTGAATTTTTAAATGAATAAACTGAAACAGTTCCATCAGTAAGAGCAGAGTAACAAAACTACTGCAGTGCCATAGGAAATGTAAGCAAATACTGTATGTGAGAAAAAAAANGTAGCATTAATGTTAGGACAAGGTTAACAACAGTTTTGTGCATTATGAAGAACAGTTTTGTTTAATATACATAAGGCTGTGCCAACAAATTGATAGTAATCTAGGGACAAATTTGTGAGAAAGAAAAAAAATACTGAAATGTACTGGATTGATTTGTCATCCAGTCTGAAGCAGCAGGTCACAGGGCTGTGTGCCAGACACTTTCCTGAAGAAAAACATTAACAGTACAATATTGTGATCCTGGAACACAGAATTCTTTGGTGAAGAGGGAAGCTCATTGTAGCTTTATAAATTCAGGAACGTTTGATAATTTGACCATACAATCCCCTCAGCATTTTCTGTCCTGCGGCACTGAGCTCTGTACAGTCAAATTACCCGAAGGCTTGCAGCTCAATGCATTTGATTGATGGGTTGATGTCTGTAGAACATTAGATTACCAGATATGTTTGTTGGCACAGTCCTAAATATGCTGATGAGCCTGGTTTCAGACTGCGTGCGAGAAATGAGACCATGGCCTTGATGCCAAGTCTGTATTAATTTATGCTTCTTAATTTGTGAGTTTTGTTATCAGTTTGCTGAGTGGCCATTTGTTCCTCCATACTGTTCTAAGGAATTCGCTGGTGGTGTATCAGTTTGGTTTTAATTTCTACGTTGCTGTAATAAATATGCAGATATTTTTGATTTTTTTTCCACCGATGAGACTCTGCCCCCACTTTTCTGTTTGCTTGCTCTGTGTCTGATGTGTCTACAGTGTCTGATGCTAACTGGATTTTGGAAGCAATGCTGGCAACAATTGCATTTCAATTTTGTTCAGTCATGATTTAAAGAGCCATGCCAGTGTAGTTCATTGTTAAGTGGCCAATCAATACATACATTTTAGTCAGTTTAGCTCAGTTCGTAGCCCGTTCATCTCTAGATTTCTGTAAAGGACGCTATATGAATGCAAGGGCTCAAAAGCAAAAAAATTTCAAGATGTGTAAGTAAAGGATAATAAATATAGGAGATTTTACACTGAACATTTTAGCAAACACCTGCCACCATAGTCCATTGCTCAAAACCCTCTGCAGTACTGGAGGAATTGATAACCAGAAGTGGCCGAAATCAGAAGATCGGTGAAGAAGGCCGTTTGGCCCATCTGATCTTATCCTTCCAGAAGACTCACCCTAACTTTCCCCACCCCATCCCTGCATCAAGTGTGCTATAAAGCTTGCTGACCTTTTTAAACCTTTTTTTTGTATCTGGTGACTTTCGGAAAGATGCATGTCACCAGATTGAGTTGCACACTTGATAATCCCATTGGTTGTAACTGCGTTTATATTATACTTTTGGGAGGAAAGTAAATGCTGTTTTTTTTAAATATGGTTTTAAAAATGCATGAGGCAACCATGACCCTATGTGACATCTTCTGCATTCTTCCGGAGTATAAATTAACCTGCCAGCTGCAAATAACACACTGAGTATCAGATCACAGATATGCTAAAAGCTAAACTAATTTAGCAATCAACATGGCTGTGATATGTATCTATGTCCCAAAGTTTACAGAGCCTCAGGGATAAAAAAACATTTTACCGAACATCCAAAATCCATAGAGCAAAGACCCAGGTTATGCACTTATACAATCAGACATGCAAAGAGTATGAAATAATAAATCTGCTGTAAGAAGGGATTTTTATTGTTAATATAATTAGATTCCAAAAGCATTTGAAATTCTACATTTATATAAAATGGAACGATTGAAGTCATACGATAACAGGAGTCCTGTTAGAATTTAAACTCACAATCTGAGTCTTATTACAAATTATTATATTGAAATACTCAAGAGTACTTATATTATACCTTTCCCTCTTGGTTTAGCTTCTGTTATACACAATCTCTTTTAATTACTTTATTCTGCAACACCTAAAATATTAATATCAATGCACAATTTCCTATCCGAGAGAGAGAGAGTGTGTGTGTAAGTGATCTGTTCTCAGCCAATTAAGCTTCTGAGTTGCTAGCTGTGAGTCAGTGAAAGAAGGTGAGGCAATTCTGACTGCCTGGGATTAAATGGCAAAAGGTTCTGGCTATGGGAGAATTTTCGCATGTAGTAATACAATGAGATTACGAGATACAATGAGATTATGAACATACCTTGCAGGATATATGTGACCAAGAAAGTGTCTTACGAGCACTGCACCAACCATGTTAACCATAACTTAAAAAGGCACATGTATAAAGTGTGTGCCAGGTACGGGCGGGAGGAAAGAGACTGATATTTATAGAATTCTTCCTCCCCTCCTGAATTTACAAATTCATTTCCTGCGAGTATAATATGTAGCATACAACAGACCACTAACTAGATCGCTAAACAATGTTGATTGAGAAAAATGAGAATTTGGGGTCTGGTTTGAGCAGTAAAAGGCACCAAACAAATGTGTATCTGTGAACAAATTCAACTCAAATATTGCCAAAATTAGTTTAGAGAATTCGGTCCGGTAACAGGGAAAAGGAAATCTCACCTCTGCCAGAGTTAAGAGCTGTAGTCTAAACACAATCTGCTGGGAGAAGGGTTTGGAGCACTTTTGATTAGTACTTTAGTCTTGCCATCTGCTGTTTTAATCACTCACTTTACATTAAAGTCCTTTAGGAGGATAAGAAAATTGTCCAACAAGGCTAAAACCTTTTGCACTCCCTTTCTTGATTTAAATGAAAGGATTTTTTTTCCCCCAATATCAAAAGGTAAAACTGAAAATGAATGTGATAAAGAGACCATTTACATAATAAACATCTCCAAAATCTGCTGGTTCATGTTTTGTTTACTAATTGGTGATCACAGAATACAACAACAACTTGCACTTATATAGCGCCCTCCACGGAGGGTAGCGTCTCAGAGCTCTTAACAGCGGAGGAGCCCGACTCCGAGCCGGGAGGAGGGGGGAGGTGGCCGTAAGCACGGTCGAAGAGGAAAGTTTTCAGGCGGGACCTGGAAGAGGGGGCGAGGCATAGGGATTGAGGGAGAGTGTTCCAGAGTTTTGGGGAGTAGTGATTGAAAGCACGACCTCCGATGGTGGGGCGGAGGGCGCAAGGGACGAGCAGGAGGCCGGTACCAGTCGAGTGGAGGCGCCGGGTGGTGGATTGAGGAGTGAGGAGGTCGGAGAGGTAGGGAGGTGCCAGAGAGTGAAGGGATTTGAACACAAATAAAACTACCATGGAGAACGCTTATTCAATATGAACCTTTGAGACACATTCCCTCACGTCTACTTCTCAGGAATGACTGGCTCACGGATTACTTCAGAGTCACACTTAACAGAAAGAAGTGAACTGTAAAACCATTCACAAATCTTTCAAGATGCAAAGTATTTCTGGCTTTATTTTATTATGCAAGAAAATACGAATACTGTAGCTGGTGTATATTATATTTGGCAAAACCTTCATTGGCCTTCATGGACCTCTCAACTTCCATGTGAGAAATCAGTAAAAAAAATCACAGAAAGACCCTGAACGCAGAAGCTAGCACGGGTGGTAAATTTGCTTCATTCACATTGAAGATCTCCTAAAGGAGCCTATGCAATGGAAGTGTTTCACTTGCCTCCCTTTCCATTCACCATCAGCTTTGGCTTCAGTTGAGGCCCGAGCACATAAAGGTGCTTTTCTGCTTGTGTAAACTCTTCTTGACTTACCGTGGAGTGTTTTGTAGGCATTTTCCTCCATTCCTTTCTCTCTCTTTCAGACCATTTATCTGCTGTACGAAATCCTTCCACTTCTCAGGGTCAATTTAACTTCAATGAGTAGATCTTTTGTTGCTTTTTGAGGCCTACCTCCATCTTTTCCTGTCCAGATATTTAGTTCCTCTTTCAATTCATTCCATACCTGGCTTCCTTTCCTCTTGTGTAGGTCTGTACGCGTTCTGGGTTGACCGGTGCATCAGTCTTCAGTGATTGACGACATAAGAGGCACAGCAGAATTCTTTATCCCCTGAATATCATACTTCTGATTCCAATTCCCATGGCTTGAAGGAAAAACTGCAACCAAATCTAAAATAAAAACAAATGAGATCTCATCAAAGATACAATCAATA